ATCGATTTCTGCCCATTGATTATAGGCATCATCGATATTAGCAGGTGGTCGAGTACCATCAATATGATCCAACACCTTGTATGCACGAGCATGAATGCGAAATAGCTTGACCCACGAAGAATACGTAACCTTGACACCATCCAAAACTCAAACTTTGTTCTGGATGTTCGTTACCGTGTAAGCCGGATGGAGAGATGCGGTCTTCTGAGGGATCAGATCTTCCTTCGCCATTGAGAAAAAGTGAAGACGGTCGCCGGAAAACTGATAGGAGAAGATGAATCAGCCGTGGCTGATGAGAGAGAGAGAGATAATAGAGGGCTCTGATACCATAAAGATTGGCAAAAGAATCTGTGCTTCATTAGCAATCATCCATAGAATATATACAAGGATAATAACCAACTATCCTAAAATACATGAGAGTAAATATGGAAGAAATATACAACCATAATAACAATATATACGGTCTAATACAATGATCTCACTTTCTCATTCCTTGCTGATCAGTAAGCCATGCACCCCTCTTCATGAATTTGCACGTTGAATATATCGTGAATATTTTTTATTTCATTCTTATATGAACTTGATTTCTTTTGGCAGTGCAGGATCGCTGCGAACTTTGCTGATTCCATGGTGTGACATTAGCAACTCGATTATTGAACGAGTAGCGGAGAAGCTTTCTGGAATCATCCGCATGGACTTGAGCTACTGTTATAAAATCAGGGCTGAAGGTTTAAGCGTGATAGGGAAAAACTGCCAACGGCTTGTTGGGCTCCGAAGAAACATGAATCCGGAGAAGGAGATGGCGGGACAAGATGAGGAGGCAGCGGCAATCGCTGCTACCATGCCGAGACTGAAGCACTTGGAGATAACGTACAACCGTGTAGAGACGAAGAGTGTGATGAAGATCATAGAGAGTTGCCCGGATCTGGAGTTGTTGGATGTGAGAGGGTGTTGGGACGTGGTTTTAAATCGTGAGAGGGTCGAGAAGTTGGGTCCCAAGGTTAGGGTTTTGGGACCCAGTGTGAGGAACGGGTTAAGGATCAAGGTTGAAGAGTGGATGAGTACTTCGGATTATTCGATTTCGAACCATATAGGATGATGATGATGATGATGATGATGATGATGATGATGATGATGATGATGATGATGATGATGATGATGATGTTGTTGTTGTATGAGTGCATGGAAGGAGAATTTTTTTAAAGAATCTAATGAAGGGTATAATAGGAATAACATATTTATGAGTTAATTCTTGACTTTAAACAATTAATATTTTGTATGAGTTTTTATTTTTTTAAATCTTGATAATACTTGAACATCTTATGATTCATCCGCATATGATGTGTAAAACATGTTTATGTAAGAAATATTGATAAAATTATATTTTGTTGTTGTCCATCACGAAATCAACCAGAAAAAGTCCCAAAACATGTAACACGTAATTAAGATTTAGTCTTATGTTTTTTTCAAAAGTCAAGACTGATTTCATTTATAAAAATGATTTACATGTATCACATCAACACAATTAAATTTCTTCCAAATTAAATCATGTTGACTTTTTTTTAATTAATTTAAAACACGACTTTACAAGTCTTGGATCGATGGATTATGCTAATCTTCTTCGAATCCTTCCGGTTATATTGGATGTCCCAAAGGGACCATTTTTTTCCTATATGTTTGATATTTTTGAGCTTACAAATTAAATCAAGAACCCTGTTAGGAGTTCTCTCGAGTATTTTTTTTTTTTTTGTATTTGTCCATTTCATTTGCATCATAATATTTTCATAAATATAAATTATTATATATGTATCATCGGTCTTAGTTATATATATATATANTATATATATATATATATATATATGTGTGTGTGTGTGTGTGTGTGTGTGTGTGTGTTTTTAATGACACTTACAAACAACTTAAACTGTCATAAACTACATCTAGAGCTTAACACCACATTCATTGAAACCATTTTAATTTCTATAATATTTGAGGAATTAGAATTCTTTCTCATTTAATTAGAAATCTACAAGGAAGAATTTAAATACACAGCAAAAAAACTAAATCTCTAAAAAAATAGGAAAAAGATAAAGCTAATATACAATTGTATACAAATATATCTCCTAAACCTACGATTTCCAACACACAAACCCGTTGTCTCTGAAAACTAGTTATTTCTGACTGAGTATCAAGCTTGTCTTTATCACAAAAAAGAGGCATAGCTTAGCATGAAGTTAGTGAAGTTAGAAAACTCTAAATAGACTTTAGATCTCTTCTACAGTTACAAATCTTATCCAAGTTCAATCATAAACCAACCACCTTGAAGGAGTCTTAATTTTGTAGATAATTAATATGGGTGGACTCAATTCGTTATTGTGGTCTTGGTGTTGAGGAGTTATTAGAAAAAAAATTGTAGGGACTGACGACATAAAATTGTATAGTAGTAAAGAGATGGCACATTTTACCTACATAATGAACACCCTTCATTCTTAACTTTAAAAAACATTGTGAAGATTCAAATAAGCTAGAAAGAAACATGAGAATACGCCAAGTTGATATATATATTAACAAACAATTTTCTACTTAGAAAGGAAAAACAATGTACCTAATTCAATGTATATAGCATGCAAGAACGTTGGCATACAACCACTCTATTACTAATTAACATGAATGATTGTAAAAATGTTGAAGCCTCTAATGATAATTGAAATGAATATTCAATCTCTTTATGATAAACAGATTCATTTTGCAAGTTCGTTATTGCGGTTAGTTCCTATCCTTGGGCTAAGGGCCCCTAGACTGGACTTAGGGGTTGTTTATTAGGCGTTGACCGGTCAGCAACGCTGACTCAGTCAGCAGTCAGCTTGTTTACTAGACTATCACTCTTACCGAAAACTAACCAATGTGCTGACCGAATACTTACTGAGACAGCACGGAAACAATGCTTACCCGGGTCAGATTTCAACTTTCCAAGCATGCCCTACGATTAGGTTTTCAATTTTTCATCGGCTGCATCCTACTCCTCTCCCTCCCTCATCGTTCCTGGACCTCGTCGCTCCCCACCCTCCTCCCCTTTCCACTTTGTAACTTCTCCTCCATCATCGCTCGGCCTTCCTCCCTCCTCAGCTGCTCGTCACACATCCTCCCTCCTCAGTCGCTCATCGCACTTCCTCCCTTCACATCCGCAAAGGTATATTTATGCCCTATTTGTTTTGTTAAATTGTTTTTTGAGTTGCTATATTTGTTGTTTCTATTGAGTAAAAGTATATCATAAGTTGTAAGATGTCACACTATGAAGATTAATAAGGTGGGTTTAATCATGTTAAAAGATGTTTGTATTGTCTGAAGAAGTTTGCATTGGTTCAGATAGGTACCACCGATAACAATTTGGCAGTAAAGATTTGGCTTCTGTTTTGGGAATCAAAGTTTGGATTCTTTGTCCCAATTGTTGTTTTCATCTGACAAATTTCTTGTTCCTAGCCTTGTTAGAGAACACATGTACCTGTTTTGGAAAGTAGGAGGCTTGCCATGGCTCTGTAAATACTATTGCTTGTAGAAATACTATTGTTATTGCTATAACTATAATTATTACTTGAAACAACCATAACTTAATTTAGTCCATACATGATTTTGGATACATCTTGAAGAACTTGAAGAATTTATTTTGGTAGCATCGGAATAGATGGTTGGCTTCCAGAATGAAGATTCACTATAGGACCATTCCTAAATCCAATATCCAATTAACTTCCATACAACACCAAAGGTTTGTGTATCATACTAGAGAACCCAACAGTAGATTGGTTAGTGGTCATTTGATGGTAAGATACCTTACTACATGAACCAATTATCTCACCCTTAGTTTTCTACAAACTTTGAATATGACAAAGTTCAAATAGAGGATGAACTTGATTTGGAATGAGGTAACACCAGTGACAAATCTCAAGAACCTGAAATAATATGTTAGCTCCATTCAATCCCAAATTTAGGTTCATCCAAGTATCCATGGCCTTAAGACAACAGCCAGGTATTATTCAAGGGTATCACTTCTGGTTTTGGTATATTGCTCAAGGAGTAGTGCAAGAAAGGATATTTAGGGGTTGGGTTCCAACCTTCCCTGGTTATAGTGCACAGGGTGCTTGCAAGTTTGGGTGTTATGAGTTCTTTGGTCCTAAGAAAATAATGGGAACTTACCTGTAAATTTTGGGAAAAGACGGGCCAAAATATCTCTTTCAAAAGTTTGTTGGATTAATCTTTTTTGTGCATTTGGACACCTGCTTCCATAGGAGAGCCAGAGTGTCGGTGATCAAGTACTAAAAAAGAAGGTAAAATAATTTGTTCCAAAAGTTAAACTGGAAGATGTTGCTCCTCTACTCTTGCATCATTTGCTTATTAGAAACAAGAATCGATTGGCTAGGTGACTCTAAAACTTTGTCTAACTCTTTAGCACCTAATTAAAAAGTTGAAAAGAGAAACTACACCTACTGTACAAACATGCTTAATGTTTGTCCAACATAATGAAAATATTATTCTTACCACTTGCCGACCTCTACTTCTAGCCATCCCCTCTACCTTCACAACAATACTCCCAGCAATTACATATTAAAGAATGTTAGTTTATTTATGTTGTTGTAGACAAAGAGGGAAGAGAGGTCAAAATTTACAAACACAAATTTCGTTGGTTACTTGTTGCTTCGTAATCTAATAACCGCTTATTTGACATAAACACCAAAAGAAAAACAAGAATATCACAAGGTGCAGCATTAGGATTAAAAGCCCACAAGAATATCACAAAGTCCTTGAACTTTAAACCATCCATTATCTTTCCATTCATCGCCGATCAGTAAGCCACTTTTCTTTTCTTTTTCTTGTTGAATTAATATATTCGGGTATCAAAAAAATATTTGATTTACGTTCTTTATAAAAACTCATTTTTCTTAATTTCTTTTGCTAGTGCACGATGGCTACGAACGTTACTGATTCGTTGGTGTGACATTAGTGATTCGATGGTGGAACAAGTAGCTAAGAAGCTTTCTAGAGTCACCCACATGGACTTGAGCTATTGCTGTAATATTAGATCGCGAGGGTCAACTGCAATAGGGAAAAACTGCAAAGGTCTTGTTACGTTGCAGCGTAACATGCATCCGCAGGACGTGTGCCCACAAGACGAGGATGCGGCGGCAATCGCTGCTAACATGTCGAAATTTAAGCACCTGCAAATGATTTTTAACTGTAAACGAACCAAGAGTGTGAAGAAGATCATTGAGAGTTGGCCCGATCTCGAGGAATTGGACATGAGGGCGTGTTGGGACGTGGCTCTATCCCCATTGGCTCGAGAAGTTTGCTCCCAAGGTTAGGGTGTTGGGACCTAGTGTATTATGAATCGGTTAATTAATGTCGAGGATTGGCTTTACAAGATTACATAATGAAATTGGTTAAACTATAAAATCATATAAAAAGGTGAAACTGGTATTTCTTTGTTTCAGGTGAATTTCAGAATGATATTGTTTGGATCATCAATTCACCATTCTACAAATGATACTAATGATATATACAAGGTATGTTTATATAAAATGTACTAAATATATGAAATATTTATAAAAAAATTGTTTCTAAATGTGCAATGTTTATATAAATGTGCCCAAATTAATCGATATTTTATGCAATCTCATATCTGTTAAATAATAAATCGTCAAATTATAAATTTTACCTTCAAGCTTTTATTTTTATAAAAAATGTACCTAATTTATTTAACCTTTAGTATTTGGCATCATACATTTATATAAAATTGAAGAGATTTGGCAATGAAAAATCTAAACATCTATTTTGTATTTCAATGTAATAGTCTTAGATATTCAATAAACATTGTGTTTTGATATTTTTATTGGTTTTATTTTTAATAAATATAAATAAAACTACTATTATTTAACGACTACTTTTTTTTTATGTATATAATATTTACACACGGCATATTCTTTTCTTTTCCTGAGATTTGAACCCTTAACCTTCTGAGAAATTGGACTCTACATCGAACTTGTTTAATGAGGTAGCATAGGATCCCACTCCACTATATGTCGATCCAAACATGTCATCTACATACAAAATAAAAAGTAGTGATTTTGCTATATAAAAGAACCTATATTTAGAAGATGAAATTTCACTTCCACCATCAATATGTTTAGCCAGGGAGTTTATAACATGACCCAAATAGGCCTCACTCATTGGTACCTGAGCAATTCTTACTGTTGCTTTTACAGAAATCCCTTCTTGTATCAGCAAACGGTCACCCTGCCATATGGCTGACTGGGGAATACTAGCGATTTCGGCTTTACGAATGCGAACCAAGAATGGGTTTTTGGAGTTAGCTCACCCTCGCGGTATCGCGACCTTTGTCCCGGCCATTTAGCACGTGTGTCGCCCAGGGAGAATAGGCTAGATCCAACCAATTGTATTGTACTTTTTTTTGTTATAACTAGGAAAGTTATACATAAGAAAGAATGGTGCATGATCTCGCAAATTATTTCTGAATAAGTTCAGAAATCATATAGCATTTCATAATTTATTGGAAAATCCACTTGATTCTCTATCAAGTAATAATGTGGGAGCATTAACATGGTTAAAGCTAATTTGTTTGAAATCTAGAGGCAACATGGTACCCTTTCTACCATTATGTTAATATAGAGATGATTTCGGAATAAAGATTTTATCAATATACAACACTCATATGATAAAATGATTTGACAGCCAATGTTGAATCGATGACATATATATATATATATATATATATTGTGTATATATTCAAATCTATTAGTGACAGAGGAAAATAAATTTTATTCTAAAAGGTTTTCTCCCAAACTAGCACAAGAAAAGTGCAAAAAATAACACCTTTTGAATTATTATTTTTTAATTGTTTTTCTTGTATGTTTGAATCATGACATATATATATATATATATATATAGACTTGGGATCATGTGAGACCAGCCTGTTTTCGTGAGACCCGTGAGACCAGCATTTTACACTTGAAACTTCACAGCAAAATGCTGTGAAGGTAACTTTTTAAAACCTTCACAGTGTTTTTGCTGTGAAGGTTCAACTTTTTTTAAACCTTCACAGCGTTTTTGCTGTGAAGTTTACGTGTAAAAATGTGGTCTCACGGGTCTCACGAAAACAGGCTAGTCTCACGTGAACCCAACCCTATATATATATATATATATAGGGTATATTTCTTTTACAACCTTGTGTATTTGTACAACCCTTGCAACCCAATTAATTGAGATATTTATAGAAATGATGAGAGTTCATTTATTATGATTTGAATATTTATGGAATATAAATAGAGTTCATTAATTATGATTAATACTTTATATTAAGAAACAATCAAAACTTCTATGAAATCACATATTCATCAAATGAAATGGACGGTTGAGATTGGGTTGTATTGGTTGCACAAATGTCAAGGGTTGTATAATAACCAACCTCTATACATATATATATATATATAGATGAATGATCATATGAAAAACGCCCTCATTTGTGTAAATATATATATATATATATTGTGTTGTTGTAGTTAGATAAGAACTCACGTGTTCATATGTTTAGCCCTCAAAGTTATTACCAACCAACACTCGATTCCAAGATGGTTTCCATCTTTGAATATAAATTAATGACAGTTATATATGTTCCAAATGATGTGCTTTTTTGAAGCATAATACATCTAAAATCTTACAAAACATTTATTCTAAAAAAATATTAATAAATTGTTATATTTTGAAGCATAATCATATCTAAAAGTGTTACAATAGGTTTATAGGACATTTTTTAACGTTTTAACAAGTTTTTTAAGACGCTTTCAATATAAAGTATCGTATTAATACGACGCTATTTTAAAAAATGTTCTATAAAAAGATGGATCTATAGGACATTGTTCTATAAAATAGTTGATACGATATTTTATTTTAAAGTGTTCTAAAAAACTTGTTAAAACGCTCAAAAAATTCTATGACTTACAAGTAATATTTATTTCGTTATACAAAAATATAATAAAATCAATGATCCTTTTGTTTATATTTAAACGGAAACAAATTATCCGGTTCATTATCTTACACTTTCATTATATCAATACTTGATTTTTAGGATGTTTTTATATGACATTTTTAAAAAGCATTATCCGAAAAGGTTAATACCACAATCTACTTCTTAGATCCTATTCGGTTATCAAATTGCATCATGATAACTTATTGTTTAATAAGGATAAAACTTGTTAGTTTATCCAACTTTGTCCTAATAATTTATCATAACATTTTTGTATATGGTACACAATAGAGCTGTTCACAGACGAGATGACCTGCTAGAACCATCATATTCGGTCCGTTAGAAAAACGGGCTTGGATTACCGTTCTCGAAGAAATTAGCGGCCCTGGAGTCAGTGGCGGATCTATAAACTATTATGGTTGGGGGCACACTTAAGAGGGTCGAAAAAATTTCGAAACCGAACAATTCGTCCGAACCAAAAAAGGTTTCGGGTTTTCATTTCGGTTAATCGAATAAAGATAACTGATGCGGTTGAAGTAAGCTAGGCATTGACCCTACAATTTATATTTGTTGAGTGAATATGACTTGTATATTTATCTTTTCATGTGTGGTCCCGAGTATCCTGCTTACCGAAATACAATGATGTGGTGGAGAGTGACTTCTAAGGCTTATGTTTTAATCTTTTAGTACTCTTCTTAAGATGAGCACCCAATGAGACCAACCAACTAGGAATTATTCCTTCTGTCTGATCATATAATTCACAAATAACACTTGATCTTTAATTGTCTTGCATATTGCTCTTCAACACAAAATTGCAAAATTGACCTAACATTTCCATTTTCCTACAAAATTAACCTAACATTTCTATTTTCCTACAAAATTAACCTAACATTTCCATTTGTCTATAAAATTACAAAATTAACCTAACATAAAGCATTTACCAAATCATCAATTGTGAAGCAAACAACAAAAATACCTAACATAAAGCATTTACCAAAATTAACCTAACA